TCATTTCAGTTTCAGTTTCAGTTTCAATAGTTATCATTTTAGTTATCGATTATTAATTCTAAGTTATCAGCTTAGTTTCAGATTCAGCATTTATAATTCTTTCTTTCAGTTGCTTTACATACCAGTGCAATTCAAATGTACCGATGTCCCTTTTGTTCGGGGCCTGCAACTCACAATGCATGTAATGATTTACAGGTTGATGATTCCGAGCACTAGGGTTCTCGTGCCAGCTATTTGGTGATCCCCAGTTCTTTCAGAGCTTTATCATTACTTTATAGTCTTTTAGCATTTACAGATAGTTAGTGTTTTTAGTGCTTCATTAGAGGCTTCATAAACTAGAGTAACAGTTAGATAGAGTCTCATGTTTTTCATGTTAAGCTATGTTAGCTGCAAAATATGTTTCAAAATTGTATTAGTATTTCCGCACTTTGACCTATATCATCCAGACTTTCAGTATATCAGCATGTGTTAGTTTATCTTCTGCATTTAATATGTTAAGATATCACATGTTGTTTCAGCCAGCCAGTTGGTTCCTCGGTCACATGTAGTCAGGCACTGAGTGCCGTATTATGTCCAGGCCCAGGTTCGGGGTGTGACATATATTTTGTATCTGATTTATACATAGTAAAAATAAATTTCATACAACTAATTATATATTATACAATTTATCTACAACTTATCTACAATTTTCTTACATTATTTCTACTCAGTTATATACAACTACAATATCATGTCTTCTTCTTCTTCTTCTTCTTCTTCTTCGACGAGTTTCAATATGAAATTCAACCAAAATCAAGTCTAATCTTCACTAAACACCCTCAAAATTGAGATATAAACACCAAACCATATTCCCAATTGTTTGCAACAACACCCAATCCAAACAAATAATGATTTTTGAAAACCCAAATTCAAATTCAAAGCTTCAAAGCTTTTTAATGACTGTCAATGATGGAATTGCTACTCTCTTTTCCTTTGCTTTACATTACTGAAATTAGGGATTGAGAGACAGAGAGAGACGTCGAGAGAGTTCTCAATTCTTTGCAACAACACTCAATTCAAACAAATAATGTTTTTTGAAAATCCAAATTCGAATTCAAAGCTTCAAAACTTTTTAATGGTTGTTAATGGTGGAATTGCTGCTCTCTTGTGCAAGATACATGGGATGTAGAGAGAGAAATGTGGGGGGGAGTGGGATACAGAGAGAGAAACGTGGGGGGAGTGGGAGTGATTGTAGGAATTGATTAATTATCCTTAAATCTTAATGTACATAATTGGTAATTTTGTATATAGGAGGTAATTAAAGTAAAACTTGAGTAGGGAGGGTAATAAAGTTTCCAATAGTGTATAGGTATGTAAAAATCTCATGTTTCAATATATGTCTTCTAAACCAGTGAGCTAAATTTGTCTTCAAAAACAAACTTATCCAACTAAATTTAATCCACTGAGCTAATGGGAATAGAATTTAAAGAGTGATCTCATAGAAGGCTATACATCACAAATTATATGCAGGGTGGATGGACCTCTCTGTCATTAATCAGAAGTCTTGGGTACGAAACTTGTGAATAGAAACTTTTAGTAGAGAACCAAAAAAGAAAAAAAAGGCATCATTGTGCACTAAACTTCTGCTATGTGCAGGGTCCGAGAAAAGAACGGACCACAAGGATCTATCATACGCAGTCTTACCCTACATTCCCATGAGAGACTCTTTCTGCGGCTCGAACCCGTGACCTCTGGTCATGTGATAACAACTTCACCAATTACGCCAAGGTTCCCCTTCGACGGATAATATGTCGCGTGAATCCTATTAGGTGAGCCAGTAAACTTCAGATAGCGGATGACTAACTTGAAACTTCTAGCAACAACTAACCAACTAGACATGCTTTCTCCATGGCCGGCAGGTGGCAAATTTCACCACCGGCGCCGATGAATAACACTTTTCCGGCGACTGTGAATTGCTGAAAGCTCTTCTCTCCACTACATCATGTGAACTTGAACAACACTTGTTCATTAACATCCTATATCTAAACAACAACCCTTTAAATTTCTTGATGTTTTTCTCACTATTATTTTTTTTCTCATGATAAGCAGCATGAGTAGTTTCTATATATTGATTTAACTCCCTTGAGATTCTTTCAATCTCATACTTATCAAGAAGTGAAATATTATTAGTACTATTACTAGTAGTACCAATTAATTGTATTGGAACAAAAACATTATTTGGTGACTCTTGTATTTCTTGAACTTCCTTAATAACTTGTAACGTGTACCTTGAGGGTTCTTCTGCATTTTTATTCCTCGAATGGCGATCCTCGAGGTCCAGTAAAAAGTCATTTCTCATCCTGATCTTATTAAAGGAGGAAGAAAACAGATCAAGGTTTTTACGTACTTCTGTTATGGAGGGAACGGGAAAATAATATTCGCGACCATTGGAGAGTGATCCATGTTGATACAAAGCCCATGTTGCTTCTTTCGCTAGAGATAAATCATAAATAGGAGTACTAACTTTTGATGGTTTTATTATGTTGAAAGAGAAGGAAGATGAAGATGACATGTTTAATTTTTTTTCTTGAAAGAAGAAGAAGGGAAGCAAGAGAGTATTTTTTTTTGGATTTGGAATACTAAAAATTCCGCGCTTTTGTATATGAGAACTCACTTCTCTATTTATGCTAGGAGGGTTGAATTATCAATTATGAGGATGAAATAATTTCTCTAAGCCATACATGAAGGTATTATGCGTACACTAGGTGTATGTATGTATATACTAACTGTATTTTCAATGTATCTGACCATTCATTTAGCTGTATATCATAAAAAAATCTAATATTTTTATATATAGTAAGATACTCAGGAGTGCATTTGTGGTATTAAGAAATCTACTAAATAATTAAACATGGGCAGCCCGGTGCACTAAACATCGCGCGTTCACATAGGATCTAAGAAATGGCCGTACCTAAGGGGTGTGATACAGACAACCTACCCTGAGGCAAGCATTAACAACTGCTTTCACGGCTCGAACTCGTGATCTATAGGGCATACTGAAATAACTTTAGCTTTGCTCCAAGGATCCCCTTTAAATTCACTAAATATATAAAAATATTAAGCTCAAAACCTAATCTGTTGGTTCGATTGTTATTATATATTAACTTAAGATCGTTGTGAGAACCCATAAATTTTAAATTATAAATCCGCCTCGCCTTACAGATATTTTGAAGTATTTCCCCAAAAAGGCCTCATATTTCCGTTATACAAGATAGACCTGGTGCCTATGCTAATGATATGTGTATATAGTATTAAATTTGAGTGAGTCATTTAGGGGCCCTAGAATGACTTTGTTAGGTAAGAAAGTAATAATATATTAAGGCTTCTATGAAAGTTTGGTTTGAATTTTTCAGTGGTCACTCTCTATCATGAAAATTCTGAGAATCTATTTCTGAAGTTATTTAATTCTCAATGATGATAGATTTTGGTTTACGTTGACTTTTTCAGAAATAAAAAGTTTACTTGGGTCACTGTTATTAGTTTCTTCGTTTTAGAAAAGAATAAAGGAGTTTTGGAGCCTGAAAGCTGAACTTTTTAATTCTTCTCAAGTCAACATCGTTTTTTTAATCTTTTTAAGAATAAATTCTATTCTTTTATTTTATTTTATAAAATGTTGGCCTTGGATAAATTATCATAAATTGTTTACGAAATAAATCTCCAGTATATATATATATATATATATATATA